CAAAACATCTTCCTGCCTCCATCTCAATCCACTGGACACCAGCAAGACTATTTTTGGAAAGTCATTTCTGCTAATAGTACTCCCTCAGTAAAAACAGTCAGTGGTTTTGCTTTCAGAGACCAAATGTAAAGTCAATCAGACAACAGATACTTAAATGAGCATCTACTACATGCTTGACATCATAATCAGCTGTGGCATTCAAGACCCCTTAACCACACAATTTACAAGCCTTAATGGTTTGAGTCTTTACCCAAAGAGCAACTGGAAGCCATGACTGACTCCAAGCAAAGGAGAGACATGACTGGAATTAAATCACTGATTTCAAATCCAAGGAGAGCAGGGTGGAAACAGATCAGTGAGGCAGTTTTTATAGTGCTCTAGGGGACAGAGGATGCTCTTTTGGGCTAGGCTGATGGTAGGGGCAATGAAGAGAAGTAAGTGGATTAAAGAGATATAGGGAGGGGAGAGAGGGTATAGTTCAGTGGTAGAGTACATTCTTAGCATGCACCAGGTCCTGGGTTCAATCCCTAGTACCTCCATTAAAAGTAAATAAACAAATAAACCTAATTACCCCCCCAAATAAAAATAAAGTAAAGGGCTATAAGGAGGTAAAATCAACCTGACTTGATGATGGATTGGATTGAAGAAAGGGGGCTAAGGAAGAGGTAGGTGCCGAGACCAATCCTAATTTTCTGATTGCGTAATAGAATAGATGGTTTTCCCATTCATATATTAAACTTGAGGCAACCAAGAGGGAACATCAATGAAGGCAACTGGATTTCTAGGTTTGGAGCTCCAAGGAGACGTCTAGGCCAGAAATGTCGATCTGGGGTTACTTAAGAAACCATAGAGAAGAAAAAGGGCCTAGGGCTGAGCCTGAAGGAATTCTAACACTGACCAGGCAGAGGACGGTGAGCCTCCCATGACAACAACAATGACAGTAACTCGTAATGCTTGAAGCTTACTCCACGTCACACACTCGGGCTCCATCCATATCTAACTACTGAGATTATAAGACTTAATTCTTACAATAACTCTGTAGGGTAGGTACTATTAGGGTCCCTGTTTTGCAGAGCCCAGTCTCCCAAGGGCTGTGCTCTGAAGGTGCAGCTAGGAAACAGGAGGAAAGCCGGGGAACAGTGATGTCATCAAAGTTGAAAGAAGAGAGTGAGTTCAGCAGCTGTGAAGAGTATACATGCTGTTGTGGGGGGAGGGTACAGCTAAGTGGCAGAGTGCAGTGCTTAGCATGCACGAGGTCCGGGGTTCAATCGCCAAGTACCTCTATTAATCAATCAATCAATCTAGTTCCCTTCCCCCAACAACAACAAAAACCAAAACAGTGTAAATGCTATTGAAAGGTCAAATAGGCAAAACGTGAAAATGTTCCCTGGATTTAATAGCATGGAAGCCATCAATAAACTTAGAAAGAGCCGTTGATGTAGAAATACGGGGTCGGAATCCAGATTGAACGGTGCTGAGAAGGAGGAGGAGATGACAGCGGGGAGAGAACAAGTATACACAACTCCACCAAGAAGTTGGGCTGTGAGGAGCAGGCAGAGAAACCGGTGGCAGCAGGACGAGGGTGTGGGGAGGAAGCCTGGCAGGAAGGTACCGGTGCAGGCTGGAATCCGGCTAGGCTCTGCATATTGCAGTGGTGAAGTTTGTCCTGGGGCTGTGGTCTGAAGGAAGGCGTGCTTTTTCCCATGTGGTCAGCTCCCTTTCTGTAGTTCATCTGCCCAGAGAGGACACCTTCTGATTCCCATAAAGGTGTTGTATGTATCAGCAGCAGCTGTGCTAGAGGAGAATGCGACTCAATGGGGCTTTTAATAAAGGAGAGTGGGGAGGGTATAGCTCAGTGGCAGGGTGCATGCCTAGCATACATAAGGTCCTGGGTTCAATCCCCAGTACCTCCATTAAATAAATAAATAAGCCTAATTACTACTCCCCCCTCCTCCAAAAAAGAAAGAGCATGCTGCAGATCTGCAGATACACACTACTATATATAAAACAGATAAACATCAAGGACCTACTTTATAGCACAGGGAACTATATCCAACACCTTGTAATGGCCTATAATGAAAAAGAATATGAAAAGGAATATATACATATATATAACTGAATCACCATTCTGTACACCAGAAATTAACACAACGTTGTAAGCTGACTATACTCCAATTTAAAAAAGGAGACATTTAAGTATGTTTAATGTGCAGATGAGAATCATCTCAGGTGAGAATAATATGGTTGAAGAGTGTGGTTGAATTAACAGGCAGGAGAAGTGGTGATTGATGGGGGGCTGGTGTCTATTATATCAGAAAGAAGAAAAAAGGGGTGGCGGGTTCACTATCTTAGGTGTGATAAAAATCTCTTTGTAGAAAGTAGCTTTTGTTAATTGTCTGTCTTCTGGGGTGACAGACAAGTGATCTCAGTGATTTCTAGGGTATCTCTACCCTCAGGGCTGTACAATTGATCTGGGGTCTTAAAATCATTAGGTTTTGGTCCACAGAGTTGCCCCTGAGATGTCCGCATCACTGTCTCTGTGACCTTTCTGCTGCCTTCCATCTGTCAAAATGAACCATACAGGCGCCCCCTCCTCGAGTCCTACTCTTCCTTGACCCGTAGCCAGGAAGAGCTCAAGGAAGAGCTCAGGTGCTGCCTGTTGTGCAGCAGCAGACTTTTCTCTTTCCCTTCTCCCACCCCCAGCCTAGGGGAGGGGCCAGTGGGATGCTGCTCTTTCCTCTGCTTCTCCAAGATATTTTCTCGAAGCCCTCAGACTGCCTCTGTATCAGCTAGCTTTTGCTGCGTAACAACCCCCTAAAACTTAGTATCTTACAGCCCACATCTATTATTTCTCACAACTCTGTGGGTCAGCTAAGTGGTTCTCCTTGTTTGGGTCAATTCGATTGGGGCTGGAGGGCGTAGCATCTTTTCAAATCACGCTCCTCAGACCAGCAGCAGCCAGGAGCTTATTAGATATGTAGACTCTCTATCTCCACCTGGGGCCTAATGAATCACTTTCTGCATTTGGGCAGGATCCCCAGCTAAAGTTTGAGAAGCACTGGTCTAAGACAGCCTCCCTCATTTGTGTGGCAGTTGGCAGGCTGGTTGGTCTGGGGGCCTCAGCTGGGGTGGCTTATTCTCTGATCCATGTGGCTAGCCCAGGCTTGTTCACGTGGCAATCTCAGGGTTCCCAAGAGCAGCAAGGGGGCAAACCCCACAGTGGGGTTTTTTTCCAAGTCTCTGCTTGTGTCATATTTGCTCCTGTCCCATTGGCCAATGCAAGTCACAAGGCCATCCCAGAGTCAATTGTGGGAAGGCACTGCCAAAGGACATGGAGAGAGGAGGGGGAAACTCTCCGGTTAGGTTATTTTTTTTTCGAAACCTACCACTCTCTCTACTACTGGAATTTAGGCTTTTGGAAAGAAACACCAGCAAACTTTTGCATGCTGCCCAGCCACATTACCTCCCTGCAGGTGAGCACAGAGCCACCTACTTGCTTTAAAAAGGAAAGAAGGGAAAACATAAGGAAGGAAAACATTACAGTTTAATACTGGAAAATAATATCCTTGCCACAAAGGAGAAGGTGGGTACAGAAGTAAGTGGATAAATGGGTCTGGTGGTGGAAAAGTGAGATTGTCTGACAAATTCATTTTCTCTGTGAAGTAGGAGGTTAAGGTCATCATTGAGAATGGGGTGGGGAGAGGGTGGAGGGCAAAGAGGGGTAACAGAGTAGACCTCTCCTTAGAGAAGGTTTGAAATAGTCATAATTGAACTTGAGACTGGGAATTGACACGAAAAGCATAGGATTTCGGGGACCATTTGAGTTGATGTTATGACTTTAACTTGATGTCAATCTGTCCTGCGGGGAAACTTTTTGCACTAGTGTTTGCGGGCACAGAGAAAGCCAAAAGCGGGGTTTGGGGGATGTTACTAAGTGAGTAATGAAAAAACAGAGGGCCAGGGAGTTTAGGTTAGAGGCGTTATTAAAAATAATGATCTGGGGTCTTTTAGCTCAATATGAAAAACCGAGAAGAAAGTGGGGGTAGTGGTCAATGAGGCTGGAAAATGATTTGAACTAGTGGCTGAAAGGAGAGGACACTGTGGACAAAAACGAGATGCTTGAGCTAGTGATTTCAGAGGTGGAGTCGTTTCTCTGATGAAAAAGACCAGAGAAGATCTTTGGAGATGTTCTCATTTTTCCAGTTTGAACACCTTCCCCGGGTGGAGATGAGATTTGCTTTCTAGCCTCATTAACCTTACAATACCCTCCCCAAGGGGATGTCCATTATCTTCCCGAAACAGAGCAAAAATTGGCCTTTTTAGTTCTCTTTCGGATTTCAGGCATTTCAGCTTAATCTGCCTCTTGAACTTCCTGTTACTTTTTCATCCACCCTTGAGTACATGTTCCTTCTTATGAGCTCCTGAGAAATACCACCATTCTACCACTCTGATTCTGTTTGTCTTTTGCTCAGATGAGTCATAATAGGCTAGGTTGTGCTGTACTAACCAAGGACCCCAAAATCTTTTGCCAGGAGGTACGGAGGCACTAAAAACTATCCGAGTTTTACAAATGAGTAAACTGATCTTCAGGGTGTCTGAGGGGATGGTCTTCAGCGGGCAAAACCCTAGGGAACACAGCACAAATTTTCACAAACGCTACACTTTAACAATTAAATGCGCTGCGTGATAGTGCTTCCAAGTCCTCTGGACCACAATGCATTATGCAATGTCAGTTTTTATCCTAGTGGAGAGGTGCTCCCATCCAGAACTTAGTTAACACCCATCCCGGGGCTGACGGGGGCGCTGGATGTAGACAGTGACCAGGGGCCCCATTCTAAATAGCGTGGAGGCGACTCGGCTGACGAAAGAGATGGTCAGGCAGGGGACATAAAACAGCAGAGGCAGTGGAGTTCTCCGGGTGGGGTCCACGTCCTGTCACTGGGTACATTCTGTACACACGAGCCCCTCCCTTGCCTGAAATCAATTCATGAAGACTTGACTTCATGACGGAGGGGTTGGGGAAAGGTGGGGTCTGGCTCTGTGCGCCCCAGCTGGCGACCCCACCCCTCGGCAACCCCGCCCAGATCTGGCAGAGCCCCAGGCGAACCCGGGCGGGTAGGGAGGCGGGGAGAAGCTGCCGGTTGAAGGCGGGGCGGGCGGCTGCCAAGCCGGCCAATAGGCGGCTCTCCATCGCCGAGCCGGGAGAGGGCAGGGGTGCCGCCGCTATAGCACCACCGCCTTCCAAGTTTCCCTTTCTGGATGCACAGCCCGGGTGCCTCCGCTCTTCCCGGCACAGAGGAGCCCCAAGAGGCCGCAGGAGCGGACTCGGAACGGGATTTCAGAGGAAAGGGAGAGGAAGGGTGCCCCACCCGCTCTGGAGGGGTTCGGTGAACGATGAAGAGCCGGCGGCGGCGCCGCCGGGAGTACTGCAAGTTCGCGCTGCTGTTGGTGCTCTACACGCTGGTGCTGCTGCTCGTCCCCTCCGTTCGGGACGGCGGCCGCGACGGGACAAGGGCGCCGGGC